CACTTAAAAAATAGACATATAGAAATATAGAAAACATTTAAAAGATATTATTTAAAGACAACAAGAATACCATACATATCAGTAAGGCTTATCAAGAAAATTTAAGGAAAGGATATGAACTTAATACGTAAATTACATAAAAAACAGATAATTTGATAGATCTGGCAAACATTCTTCGAACAGCGAACACGCAGTCCAGAGAAAGATAGAAAAAAGAGAAAAATTAAGGAAGCAGCTGTTAGGTAACTAAATAAAGCAAATTGCGTATCAAACTCACCAATATCTGGTTACTGATACTGAAAGAAAAAGTCAACAATAATAAAATACTACCATTTATGAGGTAACAACATATCAGGAACATATCATTTATAATTTAAAATAAAAATAATACATTAATAATAAGAGGCATAAAAGAACAGATTTTTATACCGGTCTCGAGTACAATTGTTGGAGGAAATATCTAAGCTGTAAGGATTGCATTAACTGATAATTCACAAAATATATTACCATACAGGTCAAATAAATTTCCTATATTTCTATTTAATAGAAGTAGTATCCTTATTTTGAGAATTATTTCCGGACTGCATGCCGAAACGTCAAAAAGAAAAATACGCAATTTTAATTACAATAATTGTGGTTTATTTACAAAAATACATAACATATTCAATGTAAAACTTGCTACTACAAAAAATTTTCAAAACCAAAATATACACGTTGATTCTTCTGTTGAATAACATACAGATATTTATATTCTTAGTGTAAGTTCTTGATTTTAAGCACATTGACAGTTATATCTCGATACATCTACACTTTCGTACTTAGATCGTCAGTCCACCTTTTTTGGATGACCCATACTCTTGTCTATCTCTTTCTGGTAATTTATCTCGAGTGATTCTGAATACTATTTCTGTACAGGGTAAACTATATGAGTGTGATGAAACAACGGGAGGTTTCTTGTTTGAGGCATCCTTTAGGTGGATCAAGATATTCTCTCCTACACCAAATACTCACCGATAAGATTGTAGAAGTGAACTAGAAAACAAATTACACTCCTAGTGAAATTTTTTAGTAACATACGAAGATCTATTACAAACATACAAAGTTGGTATGACGTCGCAGACACTGAGTTCATTTTTCAACTGGTAGAGGACAAAAACCTTGGAGTAGTTGATTAGGACAGAAACTGAAAGATATATACACTGCCAAACGTATGGCCTTTATGTACGTATGTATGTTTTTTGTCTTTTGATATTCCTGTTCTAGTAATGAGTTTATTTTTTTATCCTCTTCATTCCTTGAGGCCTTGTCAGGGCGTAGTGACAGTCTAAATATTCTTAACGTATTGTCTCCATTGCGATTTTGTGCTGTATGGACGGCTTCATGTAGGGATTTTTCCACCAGACTTCATTAGGTCTGCCCATCGTGTTCAAGATTTTCCGCCTATCGTGTTCTTGGGCTATCTCCTCCTGGTCTTGGGCTTTCTATATTTCCTTCTACTACCAATAGTTCCATGGTCCCCGTTCTTCTAGCTATATGGTCGAAGTAAGTAGGTACGCTCGGTTTACTTTTTTTAATAGCCTGTCTTTTGTATGAATCTCCCAGAATTGACAGGTTGATTCTATGTTCTGTACAGGACAAGCGTAAAATTCTTTTTTTTTTTCTTCTTAACCTTATATAGTTCATTTTTAAACATAGGCCTCTCCCAACTTCTTCCATCGATCTCTAACCTGAGCAACATACTTCCTATTTGTTCCAGCTATTTTTTTATATAGTCTACCAATCTAATCCAAGTGGCATTCCAACGTTGGTCTTTTTCTCAAGCAGCCAACAATTTTGTCAACAATTTTTGTTGTGATATCTTTAACTTTTGTTTTTGATCGTATCCAGTCGTTCCTCTTTTTATCTAAAAGACATATACCTAACAATACTCTTTCTATTGCCCCCCTAGAATTCTTCTATACACCCACAATTCGAAGATGTCGATCTTAGCAGCTTAGCAATGGGAAAACAAAATAATAATTTATAATAATAAATAAATAGTAATAATAATTTTATTGAATTTGTAATATTGAGTAAGCTTGATTTTTGAGGAGCAATCGCCATTGTTGGTTATCAGGAAGCCTAAATATACAAATATGTCTACCACTTCGAAATTTGCCACCCCACTTGGTGTATGTGCGGTAGATTATTAGTTGCTCTGTCTACTATCATTATTTTTGTTTTTGCGGTGTTGATCTTAAGTCCGGATTTCACGCTTATCTGGCTTAACATTTCCGTTATGGTAATCATTTCGACTTCATTTGGTGCTAGTATTATTGTGTCACCTGCATATCGCAGGATACTTATTTTTCTGTATTCTGTAGTAATTCCTTCATCCCATTCGTCTAGTACTTTTCTCATTATATATGTAAAATATATGTTGTATAATAATGGTAATAGTAGTCAGCCCGTCTAGTTCCTTTCTTTGTTTTCGACGCATCTGAATAAATTCCGTGTATTATAACTATGGCTGAGTTTTTATTATACATATTTCTTATTATGTTAACTAGGTGGTTAGGTACTCCCATATTTTCCATTATATTCCAGAGGGCATCCGATTTAACTGAATCGAAAGCATTTGTATAATCTACGAAACAGAGCAGCATTGGTATAATGTGTTTTCTAGCTTTTTTTATTATCTCTCTGGTATTCAGTATCTGCTCCTGCGGCATTTTCCTGCTGGGAATGCGCATTGTTCTTTGGCTATTTCTGGAAGTACAAAGTTTTTTGGCCGTTCTATTTTTTACACTGTATTGTTTACACATTCTGTCAATTTGACTGCTTAATATGTGTTCAAGCATTTTGGCACCCACATTGCTAACTCTTGCTAGTAGCCTAAAGATTCACATCTTTTATTAAGCATTACGTCGTACACATCAAGCTTGAATCTCAAGAGTTATCTTTGATATTATCATGAATTTTGTTTAGAGCCGAAGATCATTATGTTAAAAGATTTGGTTTTCTATTTCTATGGATCGTAGGGTCGTATGAAACCACTCTGGTCTCACCATTTATGGCAAAAAATATAAAGGCCTATAGGAATTTTTTATTTGCGTGTATGGTGGCACTCAACGTGTTAAATAGATTTAAAGGTCGTTCGTTGTAAAACGTTTTTGCGGTCCGTGCTAAATACTACAGTAGGCTCAAAATAACTCTTATTTTGAATGTGAATAAATATTTCACATCATGGAACAATTTTTTCTTTGTCGGCTGGGTAAGGATCACCCAAGATAATTTTAACCAAGACCGACATTACTGTTTCTGTACGCTGTTTAATTTCAATGTAACAATGTAACATGTAATAAGTATGTTCTTATAATACCATACTCGTTTCCTATTTGCCTATCTTTTCAGTAGATTAAAATAAATGAAATATATACCTTTAAGTGACTAGTTTAATCTCTGTACTGTAAGGACGTTCAAATAAGTTTAGTATAGGTTGTTCTAGTAAGATTTCTATATCGTATTTTTCGTTTTATCTGTTTCTTTTCACCTTTTTTATGTTAGTCCTCTTATCTTTCGCTCTTTCTTTCGGTATCTCTATTTCTCAAACAATAGTGCCTAAAATAATTAACGGTTGAACGCCGTACTTTTTTCGTCCTTTTCTCTTGAGCTCATTATATCTTCTCTTTCTTCTACATAGTTATATATAGCTATGTTACTTATTTTCTTTAATTTTTTTTCTAGTTATTATTAGTATTTACGAAATAACATTTTAATTCTAACGTGTTTATTCTAGTCTTTTTTTTTGTATTGAATCCACTCATTTATGTTGTGTTTATAGCAAGTGTTTGTATCTCATGCGTCTCATTACTTTTTTTTATCCATCAATATTTTTCTTGTTATTCTGCTTAGGATTCTCATTACATAGGTTTCTATGTGTCTTATTCTAGTTCTAGTTTAAGGTCTCCTTTTTGTTTCTCATAATCATTATTGGTTCTAAAACCCATAGTAGGTCTTTGCCTGTACTAGGATCAACATCAATTCCTTTCTATCCTTTGCCTTGGTTTTTCATGTCGCCATCTTTCATGTTTTGACACTCGTAAGCCATCTTCCACCAGCACTTTTGTACTCTGGACCTGCCTCTTTTCCTCACTCCCACCGGTCTTCAGTTATAAATGTGTTTCGACGACTCCATCACGTTCATTCTCTATAAGTGGCCTAGTCACCGTAGCTTTTTTTCTTTTGATAGACCTAGCAACACTTAGGTTCACTATATGAGCGGTAATGATCAAATTATAGCGCTTACTCCATAATCCGTTTTCCTACCCGCCTTTATAAATAACCAGTCTAAACCTTCTTCATCACTTTTTGTCATCATCCACATTTCTGACTCGTAAGTGAGGATGGGCTTGATAAGAGTTCTGTATATCAATATTTTCGTTCTTTTTACGACTATGTTTGATGTTCAAAGTCATTTTGTTTCTACTTTCAGAAATTTGTTCCTCAAAGTTACTTTACCAATATTGTGATTGCTTTTATACAATATTCCTTCTCGTGTTTATCCACTGTATTTCATTTCTAGCATTCCACAAATAATCCACGAGAAATAAAAATGGGCAATTAAAGATATATATTAAAGAAAACAAAATGTTAAAGTAGAATAAGCGCATAGTAAAAAATAGAAAATTAAAATTCGAGAAATTAAGCCCAAATTCAGGAAAGACAAAAGCTTAAGCAGGTACGTCTGCAATGAGCAGTAGAAGAATAAAATTTCCAAATTTGATAGAAAAAATGTAAAAATCATATTAGGGGCTTCAGTGCAATAAAAAACCAAAACTGTTTTCTAAAACTTACGCTGAATCATGACGGAAGAAATATTTAGCTGAAAGAAGTTATTGTAAAATTATGCTCATTGCATCTTTATTAAACTAGACAAACAATTATATTATGTATAAGCGTTATTATTTAAACTTTTTATTAAAAAAATCTGATAATCTTTACGTTTATTCTATACTTACTGGAGTCGGCAGGTGAAGGGGGATTCATAGTGTCAGGACTCATGCAATCACTGGGACTGGGCGACCTTTCTCTTTTTGGTAAAGGTTGAGAACTGTTTAAAGGTCCTAATGAGCCATGACTACCTAGCCCGTCCATCGAAACTCCATTTTCTGACAGGAATTCATCCAAATCAACGTACTAAAAAGACAAAACCATTTTATTATGAAATATTTTACCTGTACTATCCACTAAATAAAAGAAAATAATCTGCCTCTGTGGTTAAAGGAAGATTGTGTTTAAGGTTGGGAATGCCACTTCTATGAATTACCGATTTCTAATTATATTTGAATTTTTCTAAGAAATAAATATAAATTTACCAGAGGTAAGAATAAATTCACAAAAAAGTAACAAATGTAACTGCAATAATCGCAATAAGCAATACATGATCAAAAATATATTCAAAAAGACATAAAACATATAAAGGTATAGAGGAGCAGAACTATTTTCCAAGCTGGCAAATCATACCTCGACCATATATTTCTCTTATAGACGCATAATCAGCTCACCTTATATTCATAGATCTAAACAATTCCTATAATTATTGTATCCCATTAAAGGTACTCAAGCAATCAAATATAGATCTTATATTTGTGGGAGCAATTTGTTTTACAAAAAAGATTAGTGGCATTTACAACCAAGAATAATATCTCCGTTTAAAGTTAACAAAGGCCTTACACAGGGCTGCTCCCTGCCCCTATGCTATTTAAAATGTATGCAACAAGAAGCGTTAACAACTATTAGAAAAAGTTTAGAAACATTGTAATTAAAATTAGATTCATATTTTCTCTTAGACTAAGAATAAAATAAGGAAATATAATATGGGATTATTTCTATGATATTTATAAAGAAATAATAATATATAATAAGGTATAAAATTCCTTGGACTGCAAAATCTCAAACGAAGAAGTGTAAGACATGAAAGAAAGCTTATGAACACAATGAAAATAAAAAAAAAACATCGTATCTGGGCCACATACTTCGAAACGATAAATACTTTCTTCTGCACGTCATCATGCAAGGAAGAATGGAGGGAAGAACAAGCTTGGGAAGAAAGAAGAAATCTTGGCTAAGGAATATCAGAGATGTGACTAACCTCAGTGTTAAACAGATATTTTACGTTGCAAAAGATAGGTAAGCGTTTAAAAAAGTGATCGCAACCTTTATTAGATGACGGCACAATAAGAAAGAGATCCTCTCTTAGTCGCGGAAGATCAAATAATTGTCTCTTCCGACGAAGACGACATAAGCTAATATGATGAGGAAGTTAGTAAAACAGTATTCTAAATGGAGTCACACTGTGAATATTATAAAATACAATAAATCAAAGAAAATAGAATTTAATTCCGAAAGAAAGAAGGAGAATAGAACGTCTTTCATATAGGGATGAAGGGACCGAGACTGAAATTAGGGAAGTGAAATCCCGTATGGAGATATAAAAATATCGGGAAAGAAACGAAAAGCAGAATTTACAAAACAGTTATCAGACCAATAATGACATACGAGGTAGAAACAAGACCTGATATAAAGGGGACAAAAAGGATGTAAGAAACAGCAGAGATAAAACCACTTAGAAAAGTTGATGGTAAGACACTATGGGACAGAGCTAGAGTAATAGAGTAGTAAAGACGGCAAGAGACGGTTCCCCAATAGGAAGACGATCAGTAGGAAGACCACGAAAACGAGGGAATGACAACTTACTGGAGGCACATTGAAAAACTGTTTTTCAATGTGCCTCCAGTAAGTTGTCATTCCATCGTTTTCGTGGTCTTCCTACTGACCGTCTCCCTACAATAATATTAACTAATTACAATTATTTTAAATAAAACTTTAACTTAAATATGTATATACAACATTCTTAACTACTCTGAAGGACCTGGTGTACAATATTTCTCCATTCGCTTCTATTTTGTGCTTTTCTTTTCCAGTCCCTCACCTTCACGTGTTTAAGGTCTTCCTCCACTTTACTAATCCACCTCGTTCTGGGTCTACCTCTTCTTTTGGGGCCGATTAATTTTCTGGTTATTACTAGTTTAGGCATTCTGTTTGCTGCCATTCTTTCCACATGTCCCAACCATCTGATTCTTTGTGCCTTGACGAACTTGGTAATGGTAGGTTCTTTGTATAAAGCCATTAATTCATTGTTGGTTCTTCTCTCCCAACCATCTTCTGTCTTCCGTCCTCCGAATATGCGTCTCAATATTTTCCTTTCCCATCTTTCCAGAGTATCCTCTTCCTTCTTATTTAATGTCCATGTCTCACCGGCATATGTTACTGTGGGTCGAATTACTGTTTTATATATTCTGAGTTTACCTTGTCTAGAAACGTATTTTGAGTTCAGTAGGGCTCTTAAACTACCTAATTTTTTATTCCCTTTTGCTATTCTGGCTTCGAGCTCCCATTTCTCTTTTCCATTTTCATCGAAAACTACACCCAGGTATTCAAATTTGTCCACACTTTTAAAACTATAGCTTTACCACTTACAGACCTCACACTAAAGTCTTCTTTTTTCCCTTCTGTCCCTCCCATGATCATATATTTGGTTTTGTCTTCATTTAGTTCCAATCCGAATTTCTGTGCTTCTTCGATGATTTTCTTCACAACTCTTCTTAATTCTTTCTCGGTTTTTGCTAGGATCGTTAGATCGTCAGCAAATGCCAAGCACTGGTGCTCATTTTTCATGATCGTTTCTTCCACCTTCATGCTGAATTTTCTGATTACAGCTTCTAACACTAATTTGAATAATGTCTCTCCCTGTCTAAAGCATTTTACAACCGTAAATTGATCTGATATGTGACCCTGCCAAGCAATTTCACACGTAGAGTTATTTAATGTCATTTTAACTAGCCGGATCAGTTTCTTTGACCCAAATGTTCCATTGCTCGATACATTTTGACTCTATCGACTCTATCATATGCTTGTCTAAAATCCACAAACAAGACATGCAGGGGAACTTTACCTTCATAACAAGTCGTTTGTATCTCCTTTAATGAGAAGATTTGGTCTACAGTAGATCTGTCCTTTCTAAAGCCGGCCTGATATTCATGCAGGATTCTTTCCGTGTAGCAATTTAGTTTATTTCTCAATATTCTTGCCAAGATTTTGTATACCGTGTCTAGTAAGGCTATACCTCTATAGTTGTCACACTTCAGTTTGTCTCCTTTTTTATGCAGAGGGCGTATTATTTCCTTTTCCCATACTTATGTCATATTACCAGGACTTCTGTTATTTTTCATTTCTTGTATTGCTGTCACCACCACCTCCTCTGTAGGTTGTCTTTCAACTATCACATCTTCTCCAACCGTCCAGTTGTCTACTGCTTCGTGGTCCACCTCACCATTTAATAATTCTTCAAAATCTTTTTTCCATTCCGCTATTATTTCTGCCGGATCGCTAATTAAATTTCCGTATTTACCTTTCATATAACTACAGTGGCTTTGGTAACTTTTTCCAATCTTTTTAACTTCTTGATAGAACGATATCACTTCTTTGTTTTTAAACTTCTCTTCTATCTATTTTATTTTCAACTCATTGTGGTATCTCTTTTTCCTTCTACACAGAGCTTTCAATCTTCCTCGAATTATTCTATATTCTTGTTTTTTACACACTCAATTATCTGTTAATATTTGTTGTCTGATCTTCTTCTTTTCCTTTGCTATTGCCTGACACTCTTCATCAAACCAATATTTGATTGTACTTCTCTTGGAGTCGCACTTAACTATTTTCTCGCTAGCTTCTCTTACGGCAGATTTAATTTGTTCCCAGGCTTGATCTGTCTGTAAATTTTGGTCACATTGTTGTACTTTCTCTTCGTTTTATTGTTCGATTTCTCATTTTCTTCCAGCCTCCTCCCACATCTGACTTTAACGAGGTAATGATCCGAGTCGATTTCAGCTCCTCTCATACTTCTTACCTACTGAACGATATTCATATATTTATCTTCAATCATAGAATGATCTATTCGATTCACCATCCTTCCATCTGGGGAGACCACATTATCGTTTGTTACTTCGTGTTTACTGTAGTTACCAGTTACTGCAGTGTACAGAGCTACTTTTCCCACTTTAGCATTACAATCACCCATTATTATTTTTACATCAGGTTTAGGTTTAGTTTAGGCTTCATCATTTAGCTGTTCATAGTAAAGATCTTTTATTTCGTCGTCCTTGTCTTCTGACGGTGCATAAATATTGATTATACTCCAATTCCTTTTCTTACTTTTAATTCGTATTGAATACATCCTATCAGAGATAGGATTAAAAGCTATCACTTTGTTCTTGATATATTTAACTACTAAAAAACCAGTTCCAAGCATTCTATCTTTACCTCCACTTTTGAAGAACATCATATCTTCTATATCAGTTATTTCCGATCCTAATTGTTTTGTCTCTTGAACAGTCATTAAATCGATTTTATACTTCCTTGCCTCATTCATTAGTTCTTTTAGTGCACCTTCATAAAAGGTTCCTCTGACATTCCATGTAGCTAAATGTATCTTGTCATGCTTCGGCTTTACCTTTGTATTAGTGTTTTGTTTAGTTTCGTTTTTATAGTTCGTAATCCTTTTCTTCGCATTATTCGTCTTCATTACTTTCCTTTTCATGATGGTGCTTAGTTTTTTGCTTTGGTCTTTACCTCCAACGTTTGTTTCATGCCATCCCAGCGCCAGATTTCCTGATCGGAATGTATTTTCTTATATCCTACTTTTACTTTTCTCCCTCCCTTTCGTAGTCCTTGCGCTTTCTGTCTGATATATTTCTGTACAATTCTGTCCTTCTTTGACAGGTCATCATTGATATAAACTAGACTTTTTCTTCGGTTTTTTAATTTGCTTTTGTTTCGCATGACTTTTCTTTTGTCTTTTTTCTTTTCAAGCTCAACTAGACAGACTTTTTCTCCTAGCTTCACAACCTTCTCTATTTGAACATCGACTGTTAATTCTACCTGCATAAAATTTTTTATTTCATGTTTTAGAGTCTCTGGGACATTTGTATCTATGTTCAGGCCTTGTATAACTATATTTTTACGCCTTTTTCCATTTTCCAAACTATCAAGCGGTTCTTTTATTTGAAAAACTACCTTTTTTAGTTTTGTGTTTTCTTCTTTTAATGTTACATTCTCTTGTCTTAACTATCTTATATCTTCTCTATATTCTTTTGTTCTCTACGAATTTCGCTGAGTTCTCTTGATTGTACTATCTTTATGTCATCATATCTCAAAGATATGATGACATTTTTGTTAAATGACAATATATGGTATAGTCGCGGTGACATATTGTAGAACTCTTTAAATGCGGTGATGTTTGATTCCTTCTTTTCTACAACCGACCGGATGTTTGCCGTAATTTAAATATTTTGGACAGTGATGTAGCAGTTCGTTAGTAAAGTGTAGAGTGTTGTTTACTGTAATTTAATTATTTTGAATGTGATGTGGTTGAAAATATTGCGTACGATAACAACACTGATTTTGTATTAACTGCCAGTGCCAGTGCCGGTGTAAATATAAATGACCGAAAATACATTTAAATGCTGTGTAACAACAAATATGTCTCAATGAAAACTTTCGATAAAAAATTAGAAAATGATCAGAAAACGAATGAATTTATCTTTACAATACATAAGCAATCGATCTCTGAAATCCTACAGAAAATAAGTCGATATGGCTAACCCAACATCAAGATGATCAAAAGGGAATATATAATTTATACATAGTTAATACTTTAAAACACGAAAAGTGCGGAAAATGATCAAAAACAGGAACGCAAGAAAATGCTGTAAATAAGTACATCAAAACACAAGATGTTCAATTGGGAACATGGAAGTACACACAAATATTAAGTGAAATCTTTTTGGCAAAAATACATGAATCAATATTTAACAACACCTAAAAAATCTTCAATTACATTTCGTGCCCTCTTTGACCTCCCGTCACAATGTTGCTTACAGATTTTAACCTCGTAGTGGAAAGAAGGTTATAAGATTGATAAAATCATACATAAAAATAAATGTTTTTAACTCCCTCAATGACATGATAAGGTGTATTAGATAATTTTCGAAAACGTAGAATAAATTGTTTGGTGTTTTATAAAGCAGTAGTAAAGTGTAAAGTAAAGTAAAGTGTAAAAAAATAACTGTTACCTTTAAATCCGTTTCATAAGTCTTATCCCAAAGATTTGGACCGAGGAAAGCTGTTTGTGCTTCGACTGTGTTCCAGAGCTCTCCATCGTCTTTAGTTTTGTCATCTCCTAATATATTTCCTGTTAAATCTTTGATCGTTGTGTGGCCATGACTGTGCGGATGGGGTGGTTTACTGTTTCCTGAAAATATAATAGAAATATTAAGTTTAATAAATCCTTTTAAATACATAATATGGTTATTTTATAATATAGTTTCTACACAACCGCAAAAGGCCTGATGACACTAATAATTTACTAATAATAAGAATCAATAATAATGTAACTAAGTTATTAACTACATAATAAATATAATCTTTTAGTTTTAGTATTTTTAGTATTTTTATGAATATTGTCTATTTTAATAATTAGAAAACCAGGAAAAAAAATATGACATAAATTAATTATTAATGCAGTAGTTACATAGTACCGAAACTAGTGAATCGAATGTTGAAAGAATACAATTAAAGAAAGCCATAAGCATAAAACGCTAACAAAAATTGTTTATCGCAATCGAAATCTTATACCTTATAGAACGAAAAAGACTTAAATCACTAAGAAAAATATTATTAACCACTGTTGGAAATTAGGAACAAGATCAGGTAAATCAGAAGTACTGATTTCTATTCTAGAGGTAGTGGATTATTTAAACGGCTTATTTATTTTTTATTTATCGTATGGCACTTGACACATTTACATTTAAATTTACATATATTTTGTATAAAACATAATACATATGTTTACAAACGAACATCTAACTTATTTATATAGTCTATCGACTCTGGAGTCGCCATTAGGAAATCCTCTGACCTGCCATGATAGGATCTTGTGGGACACTGTTCTGTGATGTGACAGATGGTTTGTGGTTGTCCGCAGTCACAGAGTGGGGATGGTCGTTTACCCATTTGTGCATCATGTAACCGCATCTGCCGTGTTGGGTTCTGATTCGGTTCAGCATAGTCCATGTGTTGCGTGGTAAGTCAAAACCTGGTGGTTTTTGTGTGATGCAGGGTAAGCTGCTATTTTGTTGTTCCATCCATTCTCGAGTCCAAGTGGTCGTTAAGTTGAACTCATTTTCCACAGCAGTCTGTGCTGTTTTTATTGGCGGTCGTCTGGAGCGTAGACGGTTACCGTTGGCAGCATCTATATCTTGATGGATTGGCAGGATCTCGTTACTAAGTATCTTTCTGTACTCACTAGTGAGGGAGTGTATGCGCCGTAGTTTGGGTGGTGGAATGTGGCTCAGTACTGGGAGCCATTGCGTAGGGTGGATTTGATAACGCCAGCAATCATTCTCATTGTATTGTTCAATTGGGCATCTACTTTGTGTATATGTGGGCTGTTAAGCCAGGCTGAAGAGCAGTATTCCGCGGTTGAGAAGACAAGGCCCAGGGCAGATGATCGCAAGGTGGAAGCCGATGCTCCCATGTTGTGCCGCACAGCTTCTGGATGATGTTGTTTCTGGATTTAAGTTTTTCCGCTGTTTTTGACAGATGTTCCTTGAAAGATAGGGTTCTGTCAAGAGTCACCCAAGGTACTTTGGTGTTTTATTGTAGGCGAGTGTGGTGTTTTCGAATTGGATGTTGAGTGTTCTTCCTGCAAGCTTGTTATTTAGATGGAAACTGGAAACCTCTGTTTTGGTAGCGTTTGGTTGGAGCCTCCATTTACGGAAATACTTTCCCACTGTGTGTAAGTCCGCTGTGAGGATTTCTTCTGTTTCTTCAAATGACTTTGGCGTAACCAAACTTCCTTGATCTGGTTTCTGGTATATCAGCGATGTACAGGCTAAAGAGAAGAGGAGCTAGGACAGATCCCTGAGGCAGTCCATTCTTCAGTTTTCTTGGGGTGCTGATGTCGGTTCCCATGACTACTGAACTTACAGTATCTATAGAAATAGGCAGCGGAATAAGACAAGGGGCTTAATTAAGGCTCACGCTCTTTAATTTGATCATGAATGAAATCATCAAAATCGCTAAAAAAGGAAGAGGATACAGAATGGGAACGGAAAAGAAATAAAAATACTCTGTTAGGAAGATGAAGCAATATTGATAGCCAAAGTTATAGATAGTCTGCAAAGAATGAATGAAATCATCAAAATCGCTAAAAAAAGAAAGAGGATACAGAATGGGAACGGGAAAGAAATAAAAATACTCTGTTACGAAGATGAAGCAATATTGATAGCCAAAGTTATAGATAGTCTGCAAAGACTAGTCCATAGATTTAACATAAGAACAAAAGAATTTAATATGACAATCTCATCTCAGAACACTAAAACAATAGTAGTCCGCAAAGAACTAACCAGATAAAAAACAGAAATTGATGGCATCAGTATTGAACAAGTAATGGAAATAAAATACCTGGAAATTACATCGTCTAGCTATGGAGACCTGGACAAAGAAGTGAGAGATGAAGAACAAAAAGCAAATAAACTGGCAGGATGCCTTCAGGATGAAGTCAAGAATTTATAAAGCCAGTGTAAGACCAATAATGACATATGCCTCAAAAATAAGACACGACACAGCCACAACGCAAAGGCTACTGTAAACGGCAGAGATGAGAGTACTGAGAAGAATTGCAGAAAATACGCTGATATCGAAAGAAAAGTGAAGACATTAGAAGAAAATGTATATGAAGACACAAAATAGAAAAAAGAATGGAATAACCACACAAGCAGAATGGAGGAGACCCGTGTCATCAAAATAGCAAGAGATAAGTCACCAATCGGCAGAAGTATCGGATGACCGCTTAAAAGATGGAGTGACTACCTTCCATAAAGGTATTAATTCGCCAATGAACAAGCAGAATTGCTTATAAAGAGGAAGAAGAAGATATATTTGTTTATTTGCACTGATCTTACTTATTTTCCACAGCATTTTTATATTTTTTATTTGCCTTTTTTCTCTATTTCGGTTTATATTCTTCGTGCTTCTTCTTGTGATCAAAAATTTACTAGTATACTTAACTTCTTGACATTCAGATTCTAGAAAAAAAATTTCACTCACTGTAAAGCTGATTTTTTCCAGCACATTGTTTACTATTGAAATTTTGTTTGCATTGTCAAATAGTAAAATTCGGTTTTCCTTAGTACTGATAATATCTCAAGCTTCATAGTCCTTGATAATTAAATTTCAATGTAATTTTTTAATCCTTAGAAATACTTAATTCGTACATATCAACAGAGTTACCAGAAATCTTTTTAACCCAAAATCCGAAACTAGTCCATCTAGCTATTTAGCTTTTTCTGTTTCTTTTATCAGCTGTCTCAATACACGGAGTTTTTGGTTTTAACGTTGCAAAACAGTAATAAACTTTTTTTGGTAAAAGTAAATCGTCCGGTTTATTCTCTAGAATATTGTTCAGTTGTGTTCTTCCAATTCTTAACTTGTCCGCAAACGTTTGCGTACTTTGTATAAGAGACAATCGTTTGCGTTTAAGGAATATAATACCTAAAGTTATATTCTACTTTTAGTAAAGAAAGAGTCAGACAGTTATATTGTACTTTCAGTAAAATAAAAATAGGTCGTCACTTAAAGTTAATGTATGTGTCAATGAAAGTAAACAACATTGTTGTGCTAGTTTTGCCATATTCTCCAATTCTCCAGCGATTCTCGAGCTAATCAGAAAAAACCAGTTAATACATTAACCATAGAAATAATGTATAATTTGTATACAGGGTGTTTTATTAAGAATTGTCCATGTTGTAACTAGAGCACAAAATATGAAGATTTAACCTAAAACATTTAAATAAAATATTCCTCCTTACCGAAATACAGAGTATTTTATTACAAATATTCTAAAATGATTTTAGCCCATTGTTTCAACACCTTTTAATATTTTTTGTTCAAACTTGACGAACAGTTTAACCATGTTAGGATACTTTGACTATTGTATAACATGCTAAACATGCTAAAATGATAATTACGACAGTGGTGTATATTGTGAGGGGAAAAGTCAGTGTATATCCCTACAGCAAGTCTCTGGTAACAGCGGAAAACTATTTTTTAACACTATTTAAAGTATCCTAACATGTGTAAACTCTTTGTCAGGTTTGAACAAAATATATTTAAAGTTGTTAAAACAATGGCTAAAATCATTTTAGAATAGTTGTAATAAAACACTCTGTATCTCGGTGAGGATGAATATTTTATTTAAGTGTTTCAGGTTAAATTTTCGTATTTTGCCCTAAAGCTTCTCCAGTTACCATATGGACAATTCTTAATTAAACACCCTGTATATTTGCATTTATTTACTTTTTATTTTACATTAATCTTTTAAAAAGTTAGCTGATATTTTTTCGAAAAAGAATTCCCTCCTATATATACAGGGTAATTCATTAGTGTTAGGAAGCTCAGTAGAGCTGTTATAGTAAGGATAAAAAAGTAATTTCCAAAAATTGTTGATACCTTCAAACATCCTATTTTAAAATGCGATACAATCTTACAGGGTGTTAGCAGCGTGTCAGATCAAAGTTTTATTTGTTTAAACGGAATACTAAATCTATAGTTTATTCTAAATTTAAAATCTGATATACTTCCCTATCATAAAAATATACAGCTGTAATAAATATTTAATAAAGTATAACCAATATTACATGAAAATCGTATCAAGTTCAACGAACTGTATAATTACAAAAGAATATGGGAACAATAATCTCTTGAAACCAATTTTTTTTAATAATTCCCAAGAATGGCAAAAATTATTACTTTCGGTAATATCATTAAATATAATGCAGAGTAAGTCAAAATAAAAGTATATTATTTTCTAGATAGTTTTAAATGGATCACTCTATATATTGAATCACTTATTTGAGTAACCCCGTAAGTCCTAAATTTACCAAAATATTTTTTCACTAACATGGACTTTTAAACTGTAAATACACATTTTTGTAAAGAAACGCCTTTATTCAGTGAATTCGTAACCTATCAGCGGTATGATTTGGCGATGTATTAGTATTAGAGAAACACAAAGTCCATGACTAAAGGCGTTTCTTCTATGCAGCGCGCAAAAAGAAAGGAATAAAAAACCCTACAAATATAGAAACAAAATAATAAAATGAGCTAGAGTACAAGGAAACGAGTACATCAATTGGAAGGGGAAGAGAATATTCCTGCAGTTCTTTCTACATGTTCTACATTATTCTTTTC